CTTTTAAGAAACCGCCTCTGGGTGTCTAGGACGTGAAAACTATAGAATAATCTAAGTTAGATATCATTTCCCGGAGCATTCTCATCCTTATCTGATAAAGTGCTTTTATAATATTATAACTCTTCTTAAAGTTCCCATTAGAGCTATAGCGGGTATTTTGACCTTATAAGCTTTTGGAATGTTCTGGGTTGTTGTTTTTTTCTTTGTTTTGTTTTCATTGGTTTGTTTATATGTTTGTTTGGTTTTGTTTGTTCGGTTGGGTTGGGTTTTTAAAAACTTTTTACTAGCATCGTTCTCGAGGATGTCAAAGGACCAGTGAAGTGTAAAGTATTAGGCTGTGAACCAAGTAAGGTAATAGACACGAGATGTTTTCAAGAACAGTTCAAGTTCAAGAGATGAAAGTCATGGCTGTTGTTCACGTGATCAAACCGCAGGTGAACGAACGAAAACTGTGCGAAAGTGTCATTGTATGGCCATCATAATTATATTGCCGTGTTTAGCACACTGCTAACTCTGTACTACCCCGGGAGCGGTGCCACTGACTGAAGTGTCTTTCAGCCTTTCCCAAAGGGGGGACATTTCTCGTTCATGCACAGTAGAATTGTAAATGGCTGATTCACCAATGTCACGCTCATAACTGTGCCTGATCTACAACAGGGCGAGGGAACTGCTGCTTTTTCTTTCCTAATCCTTACCTTTTTCATTCTTCCTAAACTTCTTTTGTATGTTTGTCACACTCTTGTTACCCACTATTTCCGTGGTACCTTGATAGTCGAAGCAGACTTTGTGCTGTTGGAGCTAGAGAGGTGAGCAGAGTGAGTTTGATTCTCTGTTGACATCCATCCCTTGGCGCTCATATGACCTTATGCAGTTGCAAGCGTCGTAAAACCTCAACTAAAACTTTAAAAAAACTAACTCTATACAGGTGTGGCGGACACACATTCCTGTCAGCAGCAGATCAAAGACAATGTTACATAATGTTGTCTACTTACACACGTAATCAGCCTTACTCCTTATAGGCATAATACTGTCTAAAGACAAGTTTTCTCCCCCCCC